GCTAAATTTACTTTCTTAACCGTGGCCATATGTTCTGGTTCATTTCAAATATTTAAATAAAACAAATCACCTTCTCCGTCCAAGTCCAACTTCATGGTAAAGTAGAGGGATCTCCTCTGCCTCAACTTCATCGGCGATCAACAAAGCAAACCCTATTTCTTCAGCCATAGTCTTCCAAACGTGGTCCGAAGAATACAGGTCATACAGATGTAACGAACAGGATGTAAACTATCCGATGACTTCCTGTGTATTCAGTGAAGGCGGCTGAAAACGGTCCGACTTGAACGCAGTTTTTTGTCAACGCCCCGTTCTACGTCCGCCGGCTCTCGTCTGCTTTCCAGGCGAGGCGCAGTTCAACTCTAACGAGCCTAATGTGTTGGTGAACTGAGTTTACGGGAGATGTGAGTTAGCTGTTAGCCCTAAAAAATGTCAGCCTGTGTTAAAAAAAGAGACTGACACAGAGCGTAGAGTTTTTAACAAAACATGGACTTTAAAGTGTTTTTTTACTGAAGTCAAAGGTAAAGCCGCGTGCTTAGTTTTTGGAGAACAAGTCGCAGTGTTGAAGGATTACAATTTGAATCGTCATTACGAGAGGAAACACGCGGAGAAATACGAAAAATTGACGGATGCAGAGCGGGTACGGACGTCTGAGGCTTTGCTAGCTAAGCTGCTAAAGCAACAAGGCCTTTTTACCAAGCTTCACACATCCAGGGATGCAGCCGCCAAGGCCAGCTTTGTGATATCCCACAAAATTGCAAAAAACAGTAAGCCATTCTCTGATGGGGAGTTTATCAGAGAGTGTTTGGTGGACTCTGCTGCACTACTATGCCCCCAGGAAAAAGACGCATTCGTCCGAGTGGATGACTCCTGTTAGGTGCATGCTCTAGACAACTTTGACACTTTGTAAGAACTTTTCCGATATTCAATTTTTGTCATTCGATCATTTTACTTTTTGTGAAAACCAAATAAAACCGGCTTGTATTTTGTGCATTCCGACCGAAGTCCAGTGTTGCTCATCTCTGTTGGTGCTCCCCTAGTCTCCTAAAGGTAAGAGTACTCTTCCCCTGGGAAAGGCTGACAGTAAGAATTTAGATTAGACATAGAATTTAAATGTTATTACTGTTAAAACATAAAGATAAGTGATGTGATTTACTAACTCGGTTGGATCAGACCGATTTCATAGCTCTGTTATGAAAATTGATAATTGTTTTTGTATTTGAGTAGACTGCTGATGTATCCCATGTGATGTTGCAGTGTTGATGATAGTGTTTAAGAGCTAGCAGTTGTGTATTGAGACGCAATAGGGATTTAGATTGGTACTTATTATTAAAGGGGTGTTAGGGCCAGGGTCCTGAAGCCGCCCTAAATTAATTAAAAACCAAGCGAGGTTCCCTACCACATAGGGTTCCTCCTCCAGGCGTGACCCAAGAGAGAGGGTCCACCCTGGGGTACTTCCAGTCCTCCCACACCCATTGCACACGCACACATGCACTCACACACCTAAACCCGTTGATATCCGGCTGTCGGAGAGACCGACGTTTTTAGTCTGAAATAAGAGATACGACGGGGGCTAGTGGTATTAAGTTATCCTGGTTGTAGCCCCTCTAAGCAGACCTGGACGGTCTTGCGTGTAGATTTTGGGGGGTGCGTTTGATTACCTAGGTCAGAGGTTATTGGACAAGCCGTCTCCCAGCGCTCCGTGCGGAGGGGGAGAGGGTATTGGTTACGCAGCGAGGCTGTACACCTTTTCAATATTATTCAAATTACACGCCATTTTCAAACTTTTTTATCAATCAACTGAATCTCTTTTTCCAGTCCACTATTTCAATTCGTGGGTATACCTTGTAAAGGGAGTGGACCTCTTCAGGATCCTACAGAACTCTGTATGTACTGTGTAAATACTGTGTATTTATATTTTAACAACACAGACTTACCTTACTGAGCAGATGGAAATACTATCCCTGTGCTCAACCATCTGTAGATGATAAAGATGAATATTAAAAATACAAACTATTCCAAAACTCTACACATTGCAATTTAAAAAACTCTGCTCTCCAACAGCTTGCTGCAGTGCTGGCAGCAGCTTTACCACGGGTCCTACAACTTAAACATCAAAACTAAAACACTGCAAGAGGGGAAACACTTTATTTACCACTAATGTAACTGTTGCTGCATCCTGGCACCAGCTGTGAAAGTACCACCTGGTATGCCCTCTGACCCTGGCCGACTGGAGTTTTGGTAGATGGCTAGCTCCTCTGCGGAGGTGAAGTCAGGGGCATCTCAAACCACCTTGACTTTTTCTTTTGGCTCTGCCCTGTCCTTGCTTTACAGAGTGCACTGTCACAGAATGATCAGTAAGCAAGTACAATAAATAGCAGAGAGAGCCCAAAACAATTCCCTTCTGTAGGATTTTTTTTACATTTCATTTTAACTTGCTCCCATGTCCCGTTTGGTCCACCGGTTCAAAGAGCAAATTATATAATTGTTCTTTTAAATTCCAAATTAATGACAATGTAGACATGGAAAAACATGACAAAATTACATTTGAGGATTACTTAAGCATATCCTTTATTTTATTCAGCCAGACTTTTTGTCTTGTTTTTGCCATATTGCCTTTGGTCGTAAGCAGCCATTAAACTCCCCATAACTGTACATTATTAGCTGCTCCACTGCAGAGAAGAATTGGGCTTTTCTTCAGCCATTTTTGCAGTTCTGACGGATGATCGTGGTTTTCCTTTTTCTACTTATATAGGTGGAAGTCAGGTGACGTAGTATAAAGACCGATAAACACAAACGCAGGACTTTTAACAAAGGAGGATGCTGTCAATGTCCTTTGTGAAACTAGAAGTCAACATTGACCTATTTTAACATTGTTACGGAATAAACTTAACTAACGTCATGAAATTAACCCTAAAGGGGTACCCAGTGTGCTAAAAAGTGATGCCACAGTTTCTGAGCAAGTGTCCGTATGTAACAAGTTAGGTGTGAAAACAGGTTGCCCTACCAGTGCTACCCCGGAGGCAGGTGCCCCAACCAACCAGCAGGCTCACTAGAGTAGCACCAAGGATGAAAACCCTAACTGGCTTCGCACCCTCAAACAGACTAACTTGTGTCCTCGATAGATAAACCGAGCTGGAGATATCACTACAATGGTGGAAGTGGATCATGGGGCAGGAACTTCACCTTTGCTCCATCACTCCAGTTTGTAATTTATTGTATGTAAAACTAACTTGCCTGGTTAAAGAAAGTACAAATAAAACTATGTATTGGATTTCATGTGATGCCTGGTTTAACTGTTTAAATGACATGTTCATTCTTCACAGTAAACTGAATTGAAAATGTATTGCGAATGTAGGAGGTATTGCAGAAGAAGTATTGTTCATAATAAAAATCAAAAGTAGAGCCTCTGATTACCTCATGAATTGTTTAACATAGGTAGATAGATAGATAGATAGATAGATAGATAGATATAAACTTTATTCATCCCCAGGGGGAAATTAGTGCATGTGCACTAGTGCATTAGGGCATGTGTGTAGCCATTAGAGGTGGGTAGGCACCGCTGACCTGTCTTGAAACTGATGTGAGCCTGGTGTGGGATCATGCTCTGTATGCTCCAGTCTCTGTAAGGAACCGCTTGTGTATTTACATTACTAATGGAGGAGATGTTAAACCGTATGCCGTTGGCTAGGTTGCAACATTGCTGTTGGTGATACTGTTGTGTGTAACACACTTGCAGTAACTGTAATGCTGTTGCAGAGCTGGAATGTAGCTATCAGAAGCTTTGATGTTGTTAAGCACACTGTGTAATTGTGACTGTATTGTTCCATTGTGTTGCCACCCAGCTTGTTGCTGACCATTAATAATTACATAAGAAATATGATTGAACTCTTGTCATTGTAGTTAGTTATTTTTTACAAAGTTACTATATACTTCAATATGAAAAGTAATTTCCCTCTTGGGACAAAAAGGACTACTTCACTTATTATTCAAATAATAATAAATAATAATAATAATTCCTGAGTGAAAAGCAGTTTCTCAGCATCAAAAAATCAGTTTCTGTTTTTATCCTAACCAACATATTGCTTCGGAACCAGTCAAAAAGAACTGCAGAAAAGAAAATCAAACTAATTTTCTCCATAATAGAGAGGACACAAACACGTACGCTAATGTAACACAAGGTGTTTCCGGTCCCAGTGTGTAATGCAAAGATATCATCAGACTTTTAGTTTAAAACATTCAAAAAAAGAACAATTATTATCAACAGATTGTGTTGACGTTATTTCAAACACATCCATGTATTGTATTGCAGAGATATCTAAATGAGCATGCTAACCAGCTATCCCGGCCCCTCCTGTCTTGTAATACCACTTGTACCTGGAGGGGGGGCATAGTCAGCCACTGTAGCCTCCAGTCTGCCCTACAAAGAAGTAGAGCTGCCCCGAGGGCTTGATACATATGTTGAATGTACAGGGTTTGTGTAGGTTTTGATAGTTTGCTGTCACCACGGGACTACTTTGTTGAGAAGGCGGGCGGCGGCAGCTCCATGAGATGGACCTTGAGGTAGCTGGTAGCTCGAATTTAGCCAGGGAAAACCCCGAGCAACTCGGGTCAGATCCCGCCTGTCGGCGCGAGGGTTTGGTTAACGAGACTTTTTGAGTGACTGCTGCTCGCTACTTTCATTGGAAACACTATGTTGGGTTTTTTCGGTTGGATCGTTTTTTAAATCTGACATTCTCTTGCTCGTTTCTCAAGAGTAGCTACCCTATCTTTAATCCATCAAAACAAAAAAAATAATTAATT